AGACACAAACAGCCAATAAGCATATGAAAGCAGTCTACAACTTCACAGCACCATCAGGGAGATGGTCAGGACTGATTAATAAATGAAAAGTGAAACCCTGGCCACAGACCAGCTATACAAGGCCTTGGCCTTCTCTTTTCCTCCCCTACTCCTCGGCTCTCAGGCTACCTCACAGCTCACGCTGCACCCACCCTGTTACCTAACCCGCTAAACCCCACTAACCCTGCATGTGCACACCTTCTTCGGCTGGAGACCTCTTTTTTTTTTTTTTTTAATTTTGGTTTTTTGAGACAGGGTCTCACTATGGAGTTGAGACTGACCTGGAACTCACTATGTAGCCCAGACTGGTCTCGAACTCACAGTGATCCTCCTGCCTCAGCCTCCCAAGTGCTGAGATTATAGGCATGTGCTACTACGCCCGGCTAAGACCTCTATTTTGATGTTTGCAAAGCTACTCTGAAGAAGAGTGTCTACCTAAAGAAGTAAGAATGAGAACTATGGGTTTAACTTTCAGGGAGGCAGATTTTGCTAGACAGAGAAGAAATTAATGTTCTAAACAGAGTTAATAGAGAAGAGGAATGCTTTATGAAATTGGGAACACTCACGCAGAGGCTGATAGAAGCCCTGGAAAAGCTGCTCAGTTGAGCAGTGTACAACCTGCACCAAAAGCCATGGCCACCTTGGGATGGATAACCACAGATCAGTGGTGTGTGCATGTAACTTTATATTCAATGGGAGGAATGATTACTAAAGGTCTGATTTGTAGAATACTATTTTTAATATTTCTTCCATTACTTTCAAAAGAATGCTAAAGGGAAAATAAAAATCAAAAGAAGCCTATTACTCTACAGCAGGATTATAGCATTTTGTCTAAAGACTTTCTGTTCTTGTGGAATCATGATGACATCTTTAACATTTCCTTTAAGTGTGCAGTAATAAATAATTGCAATAATACATACAATAAAGATTGGTGCAGGCAATAATGAGGAACTCCTTTTTTTCTACCACCTATTAAATGTCTGTAGTAATTTACTTAAAAATTCTTTAGCAAAGGCAGTGTGTTATTATGTATATGTTAACTTGTTTGCTGTGCCCCAGGGGCAGTCATTTTCTTAAGTGGGGGCTCACAGTCAGGAGTGGTCAGCAGTTGTATCAGAAAGGCCCCACTCAAGGGCTGGGGATTTAGCTCAGTGGCACCTCAACTGCTTGGCAAGTGCAAGGTCCTGAGTTTGATCCCAGGTGTGGGGGGTACTACCCAAGAAAAGCCCCATTCCAGATGCATCTAGGAAGAGAGCCCAACGCTATCTTTATTTGAGATAGACACTACATGCTTCCCTAAGTCGCATAATGAATGTTAGCTATATTTTTTTTCAGAAGTGAGCACTTATTGGTGAAATTAGTATCACGCACTACTGATGGCTAAAAAGTTTGAGAGACATTCTAAATGTTTACTAAATTCTTATGTCCTTCCTTAACTATGAAAATCAAACAAGCCTTGAAGCCTGTGCTTTTAGTCATGGTGCCTGAGTATGATTCTTAAACAGTCATGAATCCAGCAACTGGATGGGGGTGGGGGGTTGTGGTTGTCTGGTGCCTATAGGACAGCAGTGACGAACCTTTTAGAGCTTTCAGTGATACAAAAAGCCTGTTGCAGCACGCATGCCATATACTTGCTGCCACCACTATAGGGTATAGAATTCTGCTTTTAAAGTATTTTATGTCCTTTAAAGAACATAAAGAAGAGGTTCCATCTAGCTTAAACAGATTGCATAAATAGATCCCTGCTTTGTAATAAATATTTGCCTGGTAAAAATATGGCTGAATCTTGCTGGAGTTGGAGTGTGGGGAATTAGGCAAATTTCACCTACCCCTAATCAATGGTAGCTACTACTATCCATTAAAAACAAACAAGCAGAGCCCTTAAGAGTTGTGCATGATCAGTCAGGGCTGTAGCACCATTCTTCCATGAAACAGTTTTGGGGGCTTTGTTCCCCCAAAGCCTCGTGTGGTGATAAGTGGGGCTTTTGGGAAGTGGCTGGATCTAGGCTGTGTGCTGCTGGGATCAAGAATGTGATGCTGGGATTGATTCACAGTGCAATGCTAGGATTAAGGCTGCCCCACCCTGGATGTAAGTGCTGGTGACCTGGATAAGATATAAGGGACAGAAAGAGGATCTCTGCTTGTTGCTTGTAGCTTGCTGCCTTCTGCCTTCTGCCTTCTGCCTGCCATGAACTGCTTCTCCTCAGCAATGCCACTCTACCATGCCACCCTGCCTCAGGGCCAGCTAACCATGAATTGAAACCTCTATAAACTGTGAGCCAAGTAAAACTTTCCTCCTTTAAATTTAGGTGTTGAGTATTGTCTCAGCAACTAGAAAAGTAACTAAAACAGAATTCTGTACCCTTCTAGGAAGTTCCACATAACTCCAAGATCTGTCTCCACCATCAATCTTGCTCTGCAGCAAGTCCATTAAAACCAATCTTTCTAATTTTTCCTGAATAGACAGACACGTAGTAAAATGCCTGAGTTAGGGACAAAGCCCAACTGGAGTTTTACAGTCCTTCACTTTTCTACCCCATTTCACACCAGCATATGCAGCTCTAATAGCTTCCAGCCTGGAAATACTTCTAACAAAGTTGTACATGGCATTGACTCCTAGACTCTAAGGAAGAGTTGCATTTACATTTTCTTCCCTGGTCTTTACCTCTTGGGGATTTCTTGCTGCACAAGGAAAAGTGTTTTGTTTTGTTTTTTTCTTTCATTTAAACATCTTGGTTGCTTGATCTAGCCCCTTAATCACTGCCCCTATGTCTAATAAGCCCTTCCTTCCTTTGCACACTATCCTAGTATCTTTGTCCTTGCTAGTCTCACCAGCTTACAAACTTTCCAGTGAGTTCTGCTGAAGAAGATAAGAATTGAGAACTCCCTTCCCACCCTTAGCAATGGCCACCTACCTGATGTGATATCATGATTAATCCCACTGACAGAAATGACAGCCCCTGTGAGATTATTATTGTTATCATCAAGCACCATTCCCTTGATGCCCTGGTGGACCTGTAGGGAAAAGTGAGCAGTGGAGTTAAGAAGATCATAAAATGTGCACAGTGCTTAGAGTCTCAGAGCCATTTCTCATATGTTTACATTTGATCTTCACAAGGTGAAGGTGGTCTATGACCCTCTCCCCCTAATGATCTCTTCTCAACAGAAAAGACAGAGCAGTCTTACAAATGTAAGTCAAATCATGTTGCTGTTCTACTCAAGACCTCACTTACTCAGGTCAAAGGCTACAATTCTTACCATGGTCTGTGAGGCTGAGGTCCCTGTTAACAACTCTAATTCTAGCCACAATGCTGCCCTTATCTTGAAATTGTTTAACTAAAAAGACTTAATTATCACACACACACACACACACACACACACACACAGAAAATGTACCATTTTAGCCATTTTAAGTGTGTAGTTCAATGTTATTAAATATATTCATAATGTACAGGCAGCACCACCACTCACGTCTTTCCACTAGGACTCTTTCCATCTTGTAAAACTGAAACTCTGTACCCATTAAACAGTAATTCTCCATTTCCCCTTTCCTCAGCCCTGGAAACCTCCATTCTATTTTCTGTCTCTATGATTTTGATTGTTCTAAATATCTCATGTAAGTGGATTCATACAGTATTTGTCTTTTTTATTGAGTTTATTGGTACATTTAGGGATACAGTACAGTTACATTCATTATTGGGATCTTGTACCTTTCCATGACAGGTCTTGGTTCTCATTTTTTCCCCTCATCCCTGCCCTCCCTTCATCCCCTCTTCCCCTCCCCATTTACAAACACTTTATTTCCATTTTTCATTTTCTCATATTTTTTTTCTTTTCCCTTATTCCCTTTCCCCTACCCTTCCCACTTTCCCTACACCTTTAGCCCCTTTCTTCCTATTTCGCATTGTCAATTATCTCATTAGGATCTTATGTACTATTATAGTTTTTCACACCACAGAAACTATTCAGTATATCTTTTTGTGACTAGTTTATTTCACTTAGCTTTAGCCTTAGCCTTCAAGATTCATCCATGTTGAGAGATGTATGAGAACTCATTTCATTGTTTGTTACTCTACATTTTTATAAATTCATCCACCAATAGGCACTTGGTGGCTTCTACTTTTTGGCTGCTGTGAAAAATACTTCTATTAAACAAAAGTACACAAATAGTTCTTTGACACCCTGCTGTTAGTTCTTTTGGACATATACCCAAAGTGTATTGCTGGGTCCTACGGTAGTTCTATTTTTAAATTTTCTGATGGATCATCATACTGTTTTCAATAGCAGTGGCACCATTTTATACACACACCAACAGTGCACAAGTATTCCAATTTCCCCATATCTGTGCCAACACTGGTTAATTTCTATCTTGTTGTTGTTATGGTTATTTTCCATAGTAGCCATCCTAATGGGTATGATGTGGTAGTCCACTATGTTTTTGATTCGCATTTCCCTAGTGATGAGGGTTAATCATCTTTTCATATGCTTGTTGTTGGCTTTACATTTGTTGTTTTATCCATTTCAGAGGACTGTTTTTCCCTGGATATCTGCATGGTTCTCTCTTTCAACTCTTTGAAATCTCTCTCTCTCTCTCTCTCTCTCTCTCTCTCTCTCTCTCTCTTTCTCTCTCTCTCCCCTATTTCATTTTTGGTACCAGGGATAGAACTGAGGACCTTGCACTTGAGACAGGTGGTGGCACCACTGAGCCAAATCCCTGGCCTTGAAATCTCTTTTTTAAATGTCACCTTTTCTGTAAGCCTTTCTTTCTAGCACTTCTCCCTTAAAATGTACTTTCTTATTTTGTTTATTTGTTTTTGTTTGTTTTTTGAGGCAGAGTCTTGCTGTGTAGTTTAGGCTGGCCTTGAACTCACTATGTAGCTCAGATTGGCCTTGAACTCTTGGTGATCCTCCTGCCTCAGTCTCCTGAGTGCTCAGGAGTGTATCACCACACCTGGCATTTTGTTTACGGTGTGTTTATTGTTTGTGCTCAGTAGAATGTTAGTTCCACATGGGTAAGGATGCTTGTTTACTTGATTTCCACTTCATAGTAAAATATCTGACAGTTCTGATAGTTGTGCTCAATCATATGAAATGCCTGAGTCTCATTGGTCGAAGCGATTCAAACATATTGAGTCAGACAGCAAAATCAGACTTGAGCTACACAAAAAACTTAGCCTGCCACTAAAAGACACTTCTCTTTTTGTAACCATGAAAGCTGAAATATGAGATTTTACCTGTTCCAAGAATTGGATTAGGGCTTCCCGATTACCCAGCCACTCCCGTTCTAATTCCTCTTGGTGGGGAAACTTGTTGCAGCTGAGTTCCAGTGTGATATCAAAGCAGTTGGTGTGGAGATAATTAAAATCTTGCATTCCTAGGGGAAAGGGGGAGTGGCAGATTTGTACGAATAAATTCTCACCCAACCCCCACCTCATCTCTTTTTAATCACAATTTCTTCACCGTCTTCCATTTTAACCTCTTTTTTTTTTTCTTTTTTTGAGACAGTCTCCCTATGTAGCCCAGGCTGGCCTCAGACTCATGGTGATCCTCCTAACTCTGCCTCCCAAGTGCTGGGAATATCTATTCTACCTCTTGATGCCTTTTTCTTCTTCTCTTCTAAAAACTCTTTCCCTAGGTTCTGAGCTCGCATGTATTTCTCTCTTTCCAGTTTACTTTCTGCATTAATGCCCGTTTTATCATCTATATCTTCTGCTTTTTCCATTTCATGATTTAATTTTCCAAAGTCACCTTTTTAGCTGGACCTGATAAGAGTATGCATGTGTACTACTTTTAGGAGAACAAATTTTTCTCTTCAAACTGTGATGTTCTTCAGACTTGGAGAGGAGATTACAAATGAGATTAATATTTTGCTTTCATATTTCTCACCCAACTGAAAGCACAGCACTAATGTAAAAATAGTTCTCACAGAGAAACTGACTTGTGAAAAATCATATGGCAGCTGTAATTTGATTTTTATCCACCAAATGCTTACTGCGCTGATCTTCTATATTATTTGGTTGAATATCATTTTTAATGTTTCTGATTATTAAGATGGCACTTAAAATGAAATTCATTTGTACTAAAAATTATCTATTTAAAGATGTCTAGGGCCGGGGTTTTAGCCACCTGCCTTGCAAGCACAAGGTCCCAAGTTCCATCTCCGGCACCAAAAAATAAAAAATAAAAAATAGAAATGTCTATATTTCCCAAAGTGATCTGCAGATTCAATGCAATCCTTATGATTATTTTTGCAGAAATAGAAAAATCTATCCTAAAATGTATATATGGCATTTCAAGGGACTCAAAATAGCCAAAATAATCTTGAAAAGGAACAAAGCTAGAGGACTCATTTCCTGGGCTTAAAACTCATTACAAATCTATAATAATCAAAAGAGCACGGTAAGGGAATAAAGATAGAGAAAGCAATGGCACCTTGCTTTATGAACTTAATTTGTTTTATGATTTTGGGGAAGATGGCTGCATTTGCATTTGTGTGAGGAGATGGCTGTGTTTGTGTTTGTCACCCAGGGTGGAGTTTGTGAAAAGAAGCAAAATTTTGTCATAGGCTTTTGTTTGTGAACTGAATTGTTTGCAAACATATGCGTTTGTGAACCAAGGCATTGCTGTAAACCAATGGAATAGAATAGGAATTCTCTCTCATTTTAAGAATAGAAAATCTTTTTGGGGAGAACCAAGAGATCAAAGCCAGAGCCCTGTGTGGCAGGCAACACTACCACTGAGCTAAATCCCTGAGCCTTCGAATAGAAACTCTTGCAAACATGGTCAAATGACTTTTTGTCAAGGGTGTCAAGACAAGACCATTAAATTAGGAATGAATAGTCTTCAACAAACAGTGCTGGGAACACATATCCACAAGCAAAAAAAAAAAAAAAAAAAAAAAAAAA